CCTGTGAGACCCCCAAACAGCCCAGCCCGGTTCCCCCAGCCCTGGGCCGGGGAGGGCGCGGGTGCTGCTCTGGGGGTGCGGGGGTGCTGCCGTCGGGGTTTTTTACGATCCGTTATTCCTGGAGGTTCGCTTCCTGCCGCCCGTGGCGGCGCTGGGCGCTGTCCTGTCCCTGTCCCTGTCCCCTCCTTGTTGCCCTGTCCCTGTCCCCTCCCTCGCTGCCCTGTCCCCTCCCTCGCCGTCGGCTGATTGTCCCACCTGGTTCCCAGGGCAGCAGTCTCTCATTAACCCGCTCTGGGGGTGGGCTGGGCAGATCCGCTGGGAGAGAAGAAAAGCCCGACGCGAGCCTCGCCCCCGCTGGGGGAGCAGAGCCCAAAGCCCGAAGCCCGGACCTGCAGGGAAGGGCTCGCGGTGGCTCCTGGCCCTTGGGCACCGAGGGGCCTTTTTTTGGCAGTTGTAACACCGTCTGCATTTGGCAGCATGAGGAAAGCTGGAAGATGCTCTCCCAGCATTTGACTGCGTGAGTTTGTCTTTTTTATGGCTTTTTAAACACCTGTGAGTTATTTGGTGATGTTAAGTGTTGCTTGACTGGGACTGGTTCTGGCAAAGGGTTTGGCCACAAAAGCCTCGTTAGGAAACCACGAACGTGGGCTCTGTGGGATTTCAAACCGCCCCAACCCTCCATGGGGTCAGCTCCGTGATGCTGAATAACGATGGGCTCGGACAAATGGGACTCAGCAAAACGTTCTTTTATTAGGTTACATCAACAGTTCAACCCAGCAGCTCGACTGGACCGTAAGACAACACATTGAACAGTACTTGAACAGCTGAAGAAAGTTGACTCCATGTACCAAAGCGTGTTTCTGGAGCTGTATTTAGCACTCTGGGGAAATCGCCATAAAACCTTTCAACACCACCAGCCATTTAAAATAACTTTTTAAAACAGTCACAACTTCTTAAATCTACAAATCTTCCACTAAGAAAAACGACATAAACCTTGTTGAAAGCATTCCCGTGAGATGTGGATTAGCCGCTGGCAAACATGGCACTTCATCACCCTCCCCCCACCCCAGGGCTACCTCCTGTTGCTGATTTTACAACAGGCTTACGCTGCAGCCTGCTCGCTGCTCACCGGCGTCAGCTCCCCGGACAGCAGTGCGGCTGAAACTCCTGGCTGAGTAATTCGTCTACCAAGCCCTCTCCGTGCCACATCAGCGGTTTTATCATGTCATTAATAACACCCTAGAACATTAACTTGTCTTACAAACACCAAACTGAAGACTCTCATTTATTTAACTTGCTGAACCATCAATTCCATTAGTAGAACAAATCACAGAAGTTTTTCACTCAACCTGAAAGCAAAGGTAATGCAAACGTGGAGAAGTTGCCACTCTCCGGCGACACTGAGGAGCAGGATGTCCTCCTCAACCTCCACAAAGAATTGCCACTTGAACCTTCCAAAGACCACTTTGAACCATACACCCATCAGACAGCGGCACAGCAGGAACTCCGTGCGTACCTTTATTTCTTGCGCTTGTTTACAGCTGCTTTGACTTCATGCACGATAACTTTCAAGATCTTTTCTATTTTGGCCTTTGTCAGCGCCTTTCTGCAGTACCACACTTGGTCCCAGGTGGAGCACAGCGGCTTGGGAGCCAGATAAAGTGGGTCGTGGTCGTGGAGCATGTCCAGCGGCCTCTTCTTGGCGTACTCCTTGTAGTCTGCCACTGGACATTGATCTGGATTGTCGGGCTTGGCAAAGAGACGTGGACGCGATTCCCCTGCGGCTGCCTCTACGCCCAGCTCACCCCTCCACTCCAAGTACTCCAGCTCCTCCTCGTTCTTCTTCAGCACGAGATGTCCCCAGTACAGATCCTGGCCCTGGCTGTGGGTGCTGGCCCCAAACCCCCTGATGAGATTGGTGAACATGAGGTGCGAAAAGCCCTGAGGCTGCGTCCTACTTAGAAGTCCCTTCTTATGAAGTCTTTCCACATCTTCATCTGTCAGCTTCTCCACAATACTCCACTCCGTCTCTCTCTCTTTCTGAGACAGGTGCTGATGCCTCAGTTTCCAGGCTTCCTGAGACGATCTGAATTCCACCCCTTTAACCACGCTGTACTTGTAGTCGTGATCCTTGAGGTATTTCTCCATGTTTCTCTGAAAGAAGTGCAAAGAATGGGAGGAAAAATCTGTGCCGTCCTGTCTCTTTGCAGAAATGTAGAAGGAGCCTAGGTAGTTATCAAGGTCTTCAGGTGGCAGCGCATAGACCTCGCGCGTTTCAGACGGGCAATGTGAAACCAGCCAGTGTTTGAAAGCACTTATTTCAGTATTCAAACCTTTCTTCTTTTTCTCCCACTTCGTCGATGCATCTAAAAGATAAAACACAGCTTTGTGGACAGCAAGAACTTACAAGATCATTGAAATATAAAGAGATGCAGAATAATTTCACCTTCTTTCTAAAAGAAGCTCAGAGGTTACGGGCCTTTCACACCCCCTTCCTTCACAGCTTTGCTCTCGCTCTGTGTTCTCAGCCCACGCCTGACAGCGCTGCCCCGACAGGGACAGGACCGTCCCCCTGCTCGCTCCCTCCCACTTTGGGCCAAGCTGCGTACTACCACGTAGATAAATTTAAGATATCCTTTCTTTTTGGATTATGTCTAAATGGGAGAGAAGGAGTTCCTAAAGAGATTTAATCTCCGCGTGTCCCTGTGGGATGCCCCCTGGAAAGCACTGGTGCAAGTCCTACGGGGCGGGTCCTGAACCGGTCACCGGTGCCCGCCTGGACACTGAGCTTCCCCTCAGCTGCTCCTGGAGCTGAGCAGAGTGTCCTTGTGGGCCCTGCTTCACTTAGAGCATGCTCTGCGCACGGCTTACCCTGGGGATTGCCAGGCCCCAGTAAGCAGGGGATCTTGCAAGTTACAACTTTGAGCAATTATTAAGTCTCCCACTCCAGCAGGATTCCAAGGATAGCATGTATGAAAATCTTAAAATTCTTAAAAGTACTAAAGCAACTTGTTTAGCTCGTGTAATTGAACGCGCAGGACTGAACCTTTGCTCCCATCGCAATCTCTGTGAGTTTTGCCATCGACTTTGGTGCAGCCAGGGCTTCACCCACAATTTCTCTGTTTCACTGCTGTGAAAGTTACTTCCTCTTGCTTTCTTCTCTTGAGACCCGAGTTCCCATCTCTGGCTCCAGTTTCTCCCAGGGGCTCTCTCCTAAGTAGAGCCAACGCAGCCTGTGGTGACACCAAGGGAAATGGGAGACCAAAGGGTTCCAGCTGGGTAGCTGCAGCTGGGCCACAGCCAGGTACCGTGTGGGTGCCGCGGCAGGAGTGCCGACAGCTTACGTAGGAACCTCTTTAGTCCCTTCTACCAGAAACAAGAGTGCCCCACATCAGAGGCATTTACTGAGATGCTACAGTACAGATTTTGGCAGCTGTATGAACTCACCCACCTTTAATATTTTGGGAAAGTGATTAATAGAACGCACCCACAAACCCCTCCAGGAATAAAACTCCATACTCTCTTACTTCTGTCTGAAGACGCGGGTGGATGGTCTGCACTCCCGCCCTCTCGACTCAGTGAGGCTGAACGACGAGGTGCGTGCCTGGATCCTGACGGCCTGCTCTTCTCAGCAGGGCTTCCCGTAGCGTTCCCTCCTAAGCCTGTTCCTGCTGTGCCGCGCTCCGGAGGGCTCAGCTGGATTTGCTGCTGGACATCTACACTGGCTTCAAACTCAAAGAACGTCACAGAGGCGGGTGACTCAAGCTGGGCCTGTGCTTCAGTGTTGGAGATGGGAACAGAGTTTAAATGTTCTTCTGATATTGCTGACCCAGAGGAACTTCTTGCTCTAGAATTTTCAGTTGCAAACCCTGCAGGATCAAGAGGGACTATCCTCAAGAAGCTGCTGTCCAGGCTCTCCTGACTGACAGGGGGTTTCAGAACGTAGGTGAGAGTTAGGGGTGGATTTCCTGGGGGGGCAAAGCCAGACGCTAGGGTGGCCGTCAGCTTGTTCAACGCTGTCATTGGACTGCGACGCATTTGCACATCTGCCTGAGCAGCTACACCTTTACTTGGTGATTCCAACAGAATATTCTGGCTGATTCTGTCTTCTTGGTTATCTTCATCTGCTGCACACTGTTCTTCAACAGAGACGATCTGTACATCTTTGTTGCTTTCTAGCTTCACCTGATGTCTGTCAGCTCTGCCTTCACCACCAAATACTGACAAACGCTGCTCTGCTGCAAAGCCTGATTTCACGGGTTTGCTACTTTTTCTGCTTTCTCTGGGTGATGGTTCATTATCTATTACGTGGACTGTGTTATCTTTCTGCTGAGTGACCCCTGGAGACCTGCTACACGACCCTGTGCTAACAGCGTCTGCTTTAGCCCTCTCAAAAGATGGGGTCTTCCGGAACCTCTTTTCATATAAATTAGCTTCCTTTGATGAAGCCTCAGTAGGTACTAACCTCTTCCGCTTTTCTAAAGCTTCATTCTCTTCTCTGCTTCTCATGTATAACTTTCCACACTGCCAGCGATAGGCATGTCCAACTTCACACATCCACAGAACAGCGTTGTCCTTGCCAGGATGACCCACGTTCTGCACAGTTTTCAAGGTTGGGATTTGATTGCATATGGTCCCATGAGTGTGCGCCCAGGTCACAAGATTAGAGAGATCCTTGTTAAGTGAGCGGGCATTGCTGCACCTTCCATCACCGACCCACTCATTCTGTAAACATGTTGGACATAAGTGAGACTGTGCCTAAAATCGCAGTTCTGGGGACTGTTTCTAGCCCAACCTCCATAAAGCAATAATTGGTTTTTTTAAAAACAATCATCAGAGGAATCACTGATTTACAATTTGTTCCTTCTTTATAATAAATAAATAAATTCATCCATTTTGAAGACCTGGAGGGTAGTTTGTGGGCATGGTCCTGGAATTATGAATTTACATGTACCTAGGGGCTCTGAGTCCTGATCAAGTAGCTCACGTAAGAATTTATCATGCCTCAGCTGAGCCACAGCAGCTGTTCACGTGCATTCTACATCCACAGCATCACCGAGATTAACGCTGTGGCTGGACCACCCCAGCAGCAGCCCCAGCTCAGCTGAGGGAAGGGTCGGAGCAAGCTCATACCCACGGACAATTCTGTACCCACTTAGGGGAAATAACACGGAAAGTGTCAGCAATCAGCTTCTCAGTCTCCCCCCTCCCCACGGCCAACAGGGCTCCTACTTCTCTCATCTGTCAAAGTGGCAGCACGACTTGCATCAAAGGGAAACTGGACGGATGAAGCTGTTTGTTGGATGCTCTTCAGAAACTAAAAAATGGACCATGCATCCACATATCTAAAACTTATTTTTAAAACATCTACAGTTTTTAATGCTATAACGGATTCTGTTTGAAACAATTGTCTCTGCTACAAATGCATATGCTATATAACTATGCACATAAACTATATATAAACATACATAACTATAAATGCATATGCTATATATATGCTACGTGCATTCATAAAATGCTGTGCATTTATGCTAGAAAAGAATACTCACCATCCTGGTGTTTTCTGTCTCACTGAGCCTTCTCTCAGGTGGAGATCAGTAAGTGAATATTCTTTCTTTCTCTCACAACCTAAAATAATCATCATACGTGTGTGTGTCTGTATGTATGTGTGCGTATATATAGATTAAAAAAAAATCTGGGTAGCAGATGCAACTGAATTTTTCAATGCTCAGTCCAAAACAACTGCTACTGCAGCACATGTGTCTCCATTAAGGTGAGCTCCCGTGGAGCTCAAATGAACTATACCTAGAACGCTTGACTTGTATAAATATTTTCAGGATTTGCCTCTACAGTGTACCAATCAAAGCTGAAACAAAATATCAATACTGCAAACAGAATTTTAAAAACCAGACTCTGCGAGACGTTCCCTTCAGCACTGGCGCTTTGAACACAAGCTGTGGTTAGCAATCCTCTCCAAAGAGGGAACTGCAGAAACAGGGAACCTGGTTCAGATCCTGGTGTTATCTGACTTTTAAAACAGCAAAAAGAAGAGGAAGTTTCCTAACTAAGGAACTCTTTGCATATGTAACTCACGTTTACTAGAGACTCGATCTGAAATTCTCCCATCTGTTCTGAGAAGTTCTGTGTAGCAGTCTAGAAAGTCATCGTCATTTCTCTGTGACAGGTTCAAGAGCAATCGGTCACATAACTTACTGTCAGCACACACCTGGCAAGAGAGCCGGGAACCCTTACCCTGCTGTGGGACTGGTACGGCATGCGCCTGCAGTTCACCCGGGCAGCCTCTGCTCCAGGCACCTTACTCTGTCCTTAATTACAAGCTTTGCATTTAGTGGTGGTAAAAGATGCCAGACTGAAAACACCTGACACGGGAATCTTGTCTGAACTGGATCTTTGAGCAGCGCTGGCCTAAATGTGACGCAGTTCCCGGGGAGAACAGGCCCCTCTCGGCTCTGGAGGTGAGCACACGCGTGCGGACAGCCCAGCACGCCACCAGCACGCGTCCTCGCCGGGTCCCTGCTTGGCACACTCCTGTTCTCCCAGCAGCTGCGCAGGACGGGAGAAGCGCATCCCAGCTGACAGATGCGGGGCTGCTCTGTAATCCGTGAACACGGTGTTTGTCTGCAGGGATTTATTTCACCGCTCCCCTTTGGGGGTGAAACTGCAGCACGGCAGCTCCGGAAGGCCTTCTGCACTGACGCTAGGATCAATCCATATGCTCCTTCTTACGGCTTTCGCATGATAGTACAGATCGTTTTAGCCCAGAATGCTCTGCTGTTTGCATATGCCAGCTTGCGAAACATGCAAAGCCAGGATTTTAAACAAATTTTCAAACTGAAATCCACTGCTTCCTTTAAACAAAAAAAAAAACCCAGACCAAAAACCCCTGTGTTACAGCAGCAAATGCGTTCTGAGCTCCTGACCTCTGTTAATCTAGGCGTTGCAGAGATCTACTGTCACCATGATCTCACCCCTGATGAATCACAGAAAGCAGGGGCGGAAGTCACCTCAAATGGCCATTTCAGCTGTCCTCCTTCCTCTCGGAAAAATGAGCTCTGCCCAAGCTCCTGAGAGGTGTTTGTCTAACCCGTCTTCAAACCTCCAAGGTCAGGGACTTCACAGCCACCTCCTGGGCCTCGCTGTGCCTCCGAACGCTGAGTTTCATCTCCATGGTCAGCCTGTGTAACTCCTCCCTAAAGGGCTCAGCTGCTCAGACAAACGACATGGAACTTTCCTGCCCATAAGCTGGTGCTTACAGCTAGTGTGGGAAAAGGTAACAGGAAAGGAAGCTCTGCGTGGTCATAAGGCCACAAAACTACTGACTTGGCAGATGAACATCTTGATTTCAATCACTGGCGTCTTTAAATGGAATGCTTTTATCTGTCCTTATCTCCAAGCACATGTCTTCCTTTTCCTGATCTCTTTGGGAAAAAAAGCCTTTTTTCTCTTGATACGTAGTTCCAAATAAAGGCTCTGGTAACAGCCAAGGGGACTTCTTCAGCCCACTCCTGCTCTCATGTTTACATCAGCCGAGAGCACCTCCAGAGAAACCGTCCAGTGGAATCAGCCTGAATTTACAGTTACAGCTGAGTGGGGAAAACAATGAGATGTGTATCTACCCACAGAGGCTGGACTGACATACTTCTCATCTCTCCAATTAATAAAAATCCACATTGATCGTTTCCACAAGTTTTACCTGCTTCCAACAAAACCGGGGTCTCTGTGGGGGAGGGCTCTGGGGCTGGGGTCTGTGGGCTGAGCTTGTTCTGGAGCCTTGTGTCTGGTTCAGTATCTGCACGGCTGGGAGTGATGCAACCTTTTGATTCTCTTTCCAGGAGAGGCTCCCATCTGACAATGGACACTGTGCATGCAGGACCCACACCTTTGTGCAGAAAAACAGGACATTCCAGAGCTGTACGGTAAATGTTTTCTGTTAATTTTTTTACTCCATAGGGAATTTAGTGCACTGATATAACCTATAGTTAAGTGAATTCCTGCTCACTAGAGGAAAAAAAGTTGGGTTGTTTTTTTTTTAAATCTACAAGATTTTGCTTTCTCATGTGTCTGGTCTACATAGCAATCTTTCAAGACGTCAGCACTGTATTTGCTTATTTTACCTCTGTATTCAAGAAAATGTGGCCAAGCAATTTTAAAGAAGTCTACGGCATTTGGTGGAGCTCTTAAAACCCCAGGCTGACTAAAAGCATTGAAATGCTTATTCTGTGACCTTCCTGAATCTAGTTTGAGCCCTTGGGGGGAAAAACACACTCAGCATGTTCTGAAAATGATTCTCTACAAGAGAAGGTCTGTCGAACACGGGTACCTGGCATCACCTGGGAATGTAAACATCTGAATCCTACACTTTGCATTTCAGCAGAGTCTGTGCAGCGTTACGGTATGCTGAAGGTTCTCGGAAACCCGTGGTGACACACGCAGGCTTATGCAAGCAGGATAACTAAATAAAGAAACTAATTGTATAGCCACCAAAGGCCCTTTAACCACTCTGTTCCTGTCCCTCCACCCTGCCATAGCCCCAGCTATGTTTCTCTTAAGTCTTATAACGTCTGTCTCACAGATTAGAAACCTGAGGAATGCGCAAAGCAAGTAAATATGAGAGCTTTGGCTTTTCAGCTCCAGATAAGACAGTGCAGGAAGCTGAAACAATCCCGGCAGGAAAACAACAGGATACAGAACAGCAGTTCTTAAACTTGACTCCCATCCCCTTCCCCGGCAGCGATTGTGTGCTCCCGCTCACTTGAGAAACACTTTCTGGCGGAGGAGGGACACGGGACAGCCGTAAAATACACATATAGGAGGGGGTACCGCCAGAGAGCTGCCAGGACGGCGTGAAGGACACTGCTGGGAGACGCGGTGGTGGGGGCAGGAACGGGATGAAGCTGTACTTGAACACATCTGGTTGCAAGACGGGAGTTGAGAGCAGAGCAGAAGTAGCTCATGGCTGCCAAGAATCACTGAGCTTGTCCCACCACTTCTTAGCAAGGGCCTTTGGGGTGGATTAATCATTTCCCAGCACATCGTTTTTCCTGTTCTCTGCAATGTTTGCTTCTCTCCTCTCCCTCCCCTGTACAAGAGCCTTCTCAGCACCTCTTCAGCTCTCTTCCTGCTTCACCATGTCCTTCCACCAGTACCTCCTGCCCCGCTTGCAGAAACACAATTCCACAGACACAGTCTGTCCTTTTTTTTCCTCCATTTTGAGAGATGCTCCTGGGAAAGAACACCCGGTGTATCTGATGGAGGGCAGGGTCTAATTGCACGCACCAGCTCTGAGTGAGCACAGAGAGACTGCTGTTAAATATTAGCCTACAGCACCACATTCCTTAAACAAGAGCATCTTTGTTCAAAGAATCTGACACAATTTTTTCATGAGTCCTAATTATGTCTTTTCTTGAGGGTCTGCGTTACCGAGCTGCTGTTCTTGTAACGTAACTGCGAGCTCTAAATCAAGTCATCTTAAAAGAGCTCATAAAAGCTGCAGCCAGCTGGCAAAGGATCGCCTGGTCCAACAAACAGTAATCAACCACTGAAAACAGCTGTAGTGAAGGGAAAAAATAATTTAAAACCATGAACTTCTATAAATAGGTCCTAATATTTTATTTCCCCAGGAAGAAGTGGGAAAGCTGAAATTAGTGAAGGGCAGATCTGTTACTTGGGCAGATACTGCTCCAACACCGATAATAACAGTGTCA